GTCAGCTTGTGGTGAATGCTGCTAGGTCTGGGACTTACCCTTCAGGGCAGTGGGCTCCACTGTGCCCCAGAGCAGGTCCAGAAGTGCCATCTAAGAGCCAAGCCTTAGAATCAGGGACCCCAGGAGCCCACTTGGTGCTGTACCCCATTGTGTCCAAGCTGGTACCTAAGGTGTAAAACAAAGTCTCCTTTACTTTTCCCTCCACTTTTCTCAAGCAGAAGGAGTCTCACCCCATAGCCACCATAGCTTGGAATGTGCTGAGTCTCATCTGAAGCCAGCAATCTCAGAGTCTCACCCAAGGCCCTTGGCATAATACCTGGATATCACTGCTGCTTATTAAGGGCACTAGAGTTCTTCAGTTAGCTGGTGATGAATCCTGCCAAAACTGGGTTCTTCCCTTGAAGACAACTTGTTTTCTTCTGGCCCAGGGGGTACCCAGAAGTGTCAAGTGGGAGCTAAGGCCTGGAAAGGGGGCCTCATGACTGACCAGTCCCTATCCTGCTGTGGTTGAGCTGGTATCCAATATATAAGACAAAGTCCTCCCTAGTCTTTTGTCTCCACTCCTCAAGTGGAAGGAAGGAGTCTCATTATTTTGAACCATGAGCTGTGCAGCCTGGGGTTAATGGAGGGGTGATGCTGGTACTATGTTAGCTGCCCTGGTTGGTGTTTCAGTATATTGTGGGCCCTCACATCCTAGTCTGCTGGCTCTGGGCCTAGTTCAGCACTAGAACTTGGCTAGGAGTTGCAGTCCTTGTGACCTAGACTAAATTTCAAGTTTATTTAGAACCCAGAGCACTTTAGCCCACAGTGGTAAGGCTTGCAGAGACTCAAGTTCTGACTGATGGGATCAATGATTCCCCTCTTTGTAGGGCAGGTTTAAATCTCCCTCCATGGGTGGGCATCAGCTGAACGTGTTCCAGTTTTGCTTTCTTCTATAACAAGGACAGCACTGATTTCAGCGTCTCACAGTTGCTGCACCCTCCCTCTCCCCAACACACAAAAGTGCGCTCTGCACCACATTGCCACTGCTGGGGGTGGGGAAAGGGTGATACCAGTGATTCGAGATTGTGTTTCCTACCTCTTCAGTGCCTCTTTCAGCAGTATGAAGTTTCCACAGTATGAGCTGTATGAGCAATATAAGCAGTATGAAGTTTCAGCAGTATGAGCATGTGTGGCTGTCAACAACTTGCTCTGGAAGTTGGAAGGAGGATAGAGCAACCCCAGGAGGAGCTCAGGCCTCAGCTGTTCCAGGAACATTGCATGACACACTCAAAATTTGGCCTCTGCTCCTTTGCTCCATGTTGATCCGTAAATTTCTATGTAACTTCAGAAGCTTGTGGGTAGCTAGTCCAAGCCCCTTTTTGTGCATCTGGGCTTAATTATCTGCATTCATGGCATTCAACATAGTAACCTGGACCCCAGGTTATAGAGTCTTGTCCAGGATAAAATGAACTCCCACAGCAGCAAGAGGAGAGGGCACCAAAGCCAGGAAGATAGGGCCTGGATTCATTTTCTGGATCTGCCATCCCATAGCTATGTGGACTTGGGCAAGCTCCCCCACCTCCCTGAGCCTAAGATGCCTTCACTGACCCTGTGGGGATAAGAACTCCAGCCTCCTTGGCTTCCTCTGTGGCTTGAATGTGGTCCTATGTGTAAAGTGCCTCTCATGGCCCTGGAGTGTGACATGGGTTCCCTCCCCTTACCCCTTAGCAGTGGAAGTGAGCTCTAGATTTTGTAAGAGTATCTACTAGGGGCTGACAGAGGGCTCAGTATGGTTTGGGAGACAACGTTACTCTTGGTTTCTTAGCATGTATTTCTTAAGCACCAGCTCTGTAAAGAAAACACACACACACACACACACACACACACACAACACTATGCCAGACCTCCTGTGAACTCAAAAAGCATTGGAACACATTCTTCAAGTCTGAAAAAAGAGAAAGGACAGGTATATGAGGAAAGGAAGCAGGCAGGAGGCCTAGGAGAGTTTCAGGCAAGAGGCCAGCCATTTCAGAGCGAGCTATCTCTTCAATTCTCTTCCTCCTTCCCTTCCTTCTCTCCTTCTAGTACTTCTGCCATCATTGATAATAACAATATTTCCTGCAGGTGCAGATCATTATGCCAGTAAAGCACCTTCTTTACTGATGGGCTTTTGTGGGCTTCTTGTCACATAAGCAAGATGCACAACCCACAAACCACCATCATGGAGAGCTCAGGCTTTGGAGTAGGACACCCTGACTGTGAATCTCAGTTCCACAACTAGAGGCATGGCCTTAGGTGTATTGTCGAACCTCACTAATCTCCAGACTTCTTCACTTTATAATTATAATCTTACCTTAGAGAACTATCATGAGGAGTAAAGGAGTAGCCACACCTTGGTCCCTGGCACATGATGAACTCAACATGTGGACATTGGTGTGAACATTATAGTTCATTCTGGAATGTTCTGCCTGGATTGGAAGTTCAACTCTTCTATTTATGCAATGTGTGGCCTAGGGTAAGTTACTTAACCTCTCTGTGCCTGGTTTCCTTCTTAGGGTTTAATTATCTATGCTGCTAACAACCAATGAGGTGGTCTTTTTCATTTTATTTCATTCTAAAAACCCTAAAATAGGATCATGGTGAGAATTAAATGAAAATGTATATATATTTATATTATATTACATGAATTATATTTCTTAGACTATCAGCTGGTGTATAGGAAGCACTATACATGTGTTTATTGTTATTCACATTTCTTGAATAAATAATCTGGGTGAATTGTGAATTTAACACCTACTAAGTGTCAGGCAGTGAACAAACCAAATCATTCCTACACTCATGAGGCTTACATTCGAGTGGAGAAACAGCTAATAAACAAAATAGGATGCTAGATAAACAGGAAAGGGGTACGGGGTGTGCTGAAGGTGGAAATGGGGGGTCTATCTTCCAATAGGAGACCTTTGAAGTAAAGGTCTGAAAGACGTGGAGGTGCAAGCCATGCAGATGTCTAGGGGAAGCACATCCCAGGGCAGTGATGAAAGATGAAAAATGCTATAACTGCCATCATCCTGCCATCAACCAGCCTGCTCAGGGTGGGTTCCTGTCCAAAGTCACTTTGGAAAGGTTGGGCCCTCAGCAAACAACCCTGCTCCCTAATAGCCTATGAACCCCATTAACGGATAATGTATGGAGGGCTTGTTTTATTTTTTTAACCGTACCTCAGTTTATGAGTGTGCATGTATGCAAAGTGAAAAGGCTGTATGGTGAGAACATGCCTGGTATGTTTGAGAAACACGGAGCATACCAGTGTGCCTGGGTCAGAGTGAGTCTGGGAAAGGAGCAGGAGGGAAACAGAGCCAGGAGGGGTATGTGCCAGATATTAGGGCTATCAAAACTCTCGTAATGACTCCAGCATTTAAATGATCATATAGAGGCCAAATATGGTGGCTCATGCCTGTAATCTCAGCACTTCGGGAGGCCAAGAAGGGAAGACTGATTGAGCCCAGAAGTTTTAGACTGAAGTGAGCTATGATCATGCCACTGTGCTCCAGCCTGGGTGACAGAGTGAGACCCAATCTCCAAAAATAAATAAATACTCATATAGAGCAGGTAGTAGAGAAGGGTCAGTGTCCACACTACCAACAACTAAGGACCAAAGAAACGTACTGACCTGCCCTGGGCAGTTCCTGGCAGGTTAAGCCTTAGAGCCAGAACGTGGCCCCTGAATCAGCAGTCTTTACATTGCACCGTGCTGTCTCCCACCCTGCTTAGGTCATGAGAGACATTTTACCTCACTCGATGCCCACAGCAACACATCAAGACTGATGTTAATATCTCCACTTTACAGTAGAGGACACTGAGACTTAGAAACGTTAAATATTTTGTTCAAAGTCACATAGGACCGGAACCAGGCCGGCTGGACTTCAGAGGTCTGTTCTTTCCGTTAAAGCATGTGATATGAAATCTGTTTCTCAGGAATAATAAGAAAAAAAAGCCTGCTTCAGCCATCCAGTGACAGTATGAATACTGACCCCAGATAGTGCATGTAAAGTAATTATCTCAGCACCTGGCACATGGCGGATGCCCAGTAAATGTCACTTATTACTGTTGTTATTAAAGATGCACATTTGTGCTCTGAATTATCTATGCAGTGTTCATCTGGATGCTGGTGCCCTATTTGGCCTGTACCCATAGCCTCTCTACTTACTTTTCCTTCTTGTTCAGCTTTGTCACCTGACAACCATCCCTCTGTCAGAAACATCCTCTCCTCAGCCCAATGCATTCATCCCTGGAGGGTGTGTTGGGGTCAGGGAAGATAGATCTAGGTTGAGAGTAGTAAGAAAGAAATAACAGAGGCTGGCCATGGTGGCTCATGCCTGTAATCTCAGCACTTTGGGAGGCTGAGGCAGGCAGATCATTTGAGGTCAGGAGTTCAAGACCAGCCTGGCCAACATGGTGAAATCCCGTTGCTACTAAAAATACAAAAAACCAGTGAGACATGGTGGTGCAAGCCTGTAATCCCAGCTACTTGGGAAGCAGAGGCAGGAGAATCACTTGAATCCATGAGGTGGAGGCTGCAGTGAGCCAAGATCATGCCACTGCACTCCAGCCTGGACAACAGAGCTAGATTCTGCCTCAAAAAAAAAAAAAAAGAAGAAGAAGAAGAAAAAGAAATAACAGAAAAAGACAAGTACAGAGAGAAAAATCAGAGAAATGGAGACAGATTCAGAGACACAGAGAAAGAGAGATCAGAAATGGAGGGATGTGGAGAAGTCAGCAGCAGAGGCATCCATCCTGTCTTCCAGATCTTTATGTGGAGGAAAGGGTGCTGGCTGGAGAATTTAGAGGCACTGATTGGAACCCTTTTCTGCACCAACTTGCTTTGAGACCCTGGGTACATTCTTATCCCCCTCTAGGACTCACCTTTCCTGCTATGTTCTTTAAGGCCCTTTTCATTTCTAATCATCTCCATTTCTGATTCCTTGACTGACTATCCCTGAATGAAAAGACACTTCCACTCATAGGTAAAATGTGGACTTTATTCAGAAAAACCAGTCAGTACAATGTGTACTACAAGATATCACTCGGCTCACATCACAGACATGGACTATATGACTTCACAATAAATTAGAGACGGGGCGGTCCTTTCTCCCGGGATGGCCTGCAGGCTCTTTCAGCAGATGGAGTTTATTATAAATACCACAGTAGACTTTTTGGCTATTTTCAAGTGGGATCAGACAGCCTGAGGCCAGCCAATGGGACTTTCAACTGCAAGGCGAGATCGGCCCAAACCCAGGTTCTCCCCAACCCCAGAGAAGAGAATTCCAAATTCGTAGGGAGATTTCTCATTTGAATAAACGTAGGTGCCTTCCCCAACTCCTTCCCCTTCAAGGTGGGCTGTCTCCCACAGCAAACTGCACGGGGCTGTTCATCCCTCATCACTACACAGGCTCCTTGTCATCAAGCTGAGGATGTTACTTCATGATTTTTGTCAATCCAGGCTAGAAAGACATCGAGCTCTCCCAGGGACTTAATGGCAGCAGAGCGGACCTCCAGCTGAAATGAGAGATCATTGTAAGAATCCACCTTTCTAGACTGTATAATGGTTTTCAAGTCACTTTCTTCATATGCTGGTCCCTACGAGGTTTTTTTTTTTTTATTTTTTAAGTCACGAAATATATCTGCATAACATACAGACTCAAGATTATTTTCCTCACAGGCAATCAGTTTTTTTTCCCCACAAACGAGCAGTTAAATCATGTCAGCTCCTTACAAATAGAACTTTAAAATTCTTCATTCTTTCCCCTTATTTTCCCCCGCTCTGTTTATCACGGGAAACAAAAAACCTGCCTTACTGGCCAGTTCTTCTGCTGATTTTCTTCTCCACATCAGCTTGCTTTAGTGTTTCTCTATCCCAGAACATCTTCCTCCCTGAGGTGCTGACAGTGGGTCGGGAGAGCATGGCATCCCCATGTGACATGTCAGAGCACTAAATCCCCTATGGACTAGCGTCCTGCCCAATGTCACACAGCCAGCTGGTAACAGAGCTGAAACGGGAACCCAAGTCTCCTGCCTATTCCCTCTCCTTCCTCAGCAGACTGAGTTCATGCTTTTCGCATGTCCTGTAGAGCCAGCCAGCGTGGGATTGAATCCCGCCTCTGCCATGCAGTTGCAGTGTGAATTTAGTTAGTTCACCTACTCGAGCCTCAGCTTCTGACTGTATCCAATGCAGATAATGACTCATAGCATTGTTGTGAAGGACAAATGTGTGTGAATACTTGTGTGCCTAGAAGAATACCTCACTTATAGTAAGAACCACGTAACTCTTAGCTCTTTCTATAACATTATCCTACAGAGCTTCTCCACAAAGAAGCAGAGCCCATAACAGATTCCCTACCTCTTTGCTGTTCAAAGCATTGGCATTTGATAGTGTGATCTAAAGGCAGAAACTCAGGCTCACCCCAGGCCTGCTGAACCAGAATCTGCATTTTTGTTTTTCTTTCTTTTTTTTTTTTTTTGAGACAGAATCTTGCTCTGTCACCAGGCTGGAGTGTAGTGGCCCAATCTCTGCTCACTGCAACCTCCACCCCCCTCCCCAGGGTTCATGTGATTCTCCTGCCTCAGCCTCCCAAGTAGCTGGGACTACAGGCACATGCCACCACACTCAGCTATTTTTTGTATGTTCAGTAGAGACAGGGTTTCACCGTGTTGGTCAGGATGGTCTCGATCTCTTGACCTTGCAATCCACCCACCTTGGCCTCCCAAAGTGCTAGGGTTACAGGCGTGTGCCACAACACCTGGCCAGAATCTGCATTTTAACAAGATCTTCTACTGATGTTCATGAGAAGCACTGCTTCTCCCTACATCCACATGAGATGTGCGTTTTACACTAACATTAACATGAGAAGACCATGTCTTCATCACTGCACAGAATACGGGAGGGCAAATAGTTTTTGCAGTGACAGCATGCAGGTAACACATTCCATGAGTAACAGCTCACAATTCATGGGGGTTCCTTGTTCTCTCTGTGTCATCCCATCCTAACCGAAGCAGTGGGCGCTTTCCCCTGAATCATACAGGTCAGGCTTGGTATATGAGAGTATGAGAAAATGGTGGAAGAATGATGGAGATGAGGAGCCCAGGGGATTCGCAAATGAGGTAAGATCAAAACTCTCTTTACAGACACAGAGAATTGAGGCCTGCCCACATGACTGCTTATAGAGTGAACGCATGAATTTGAGTGGAGAGGAGGCTGAAGGGTTGGCACCCTCCTGCTCTGCCTCTCATCTTCCATCTTCCCCACCTTGATTCCCAGGTCTTACCTGATCATAGTTGTCATGGATGACTCTAGTGACATTGGTGGCTTCCTGCCTGCAGTGACACTGCCTCTGCTCCTGCTGTGATAAAGTGGAGGAAGCTCCTATCAGAGGACATTTCAACCCTGACCCTCTCTTACTGCCACCTCCCAGCATGAGGAGTGACATTGCTCTTCCCTCTCACAGTGAAGTCAGGTGAGTAAACTCAGATGGGAGCAGCCACAGGAGAATATGGCTCATCCGTAGAGTCACCTGCATTTGCCCACAGCTTTTGATTTTTGGCATTTAGAGCCCATCAGACTGTCAGCACGATCTGGCATATGGAAGCCACATGTGGAACACGCATGGAAGCCAGGCACCATGATCTGTCTCATCACTGCTCTAAGCGCAGCATCCCACAGGGAAGGCACTCAAGAAACACTTTAACCAATTATTAATTAAGTAACTGGTCAGGTGAATTCATTTGAGTTCATTATCGTATTAATGCAAGTAGGACAGGAGTCATCATCCCTTCTAACAATTTTAGAATCTGAGGCACAGAGAGGTGAAGTCCCTTGCCACAAAGTCTCACAGGAAATCATTAGCGGGAATGGGGCTGGAACCCAGGTTCTCTCCTGGTCTAAGCTTTTGTTGGTTTCCTTTGGTTTTGTTTCGATGTTGGATTTGAATAGATTGCAATGAATTTCCTGGTGACCTTTAGGGATAGGCCATACCAAGGAACTACGCAGAGATTTATTGATATAGAGACCCCAAAGGGCCAGAAATAGAGAAACCAGGGGTATGCTTATGGTAGAACTGGAGTCCTTGGCATGCCTCTTACTAAGGAATACGCTGACCTAAGTTGGTCACCCCATGTAGGAGGAGACCATCTGGGGAGTTGTCAGCAGGCAGGGAGCCCTGGGGAAGCAGTGGGCACTGGGAGAGGTTCTCAACAGTTCTCCCTGTGGACGTGGGCAGAGAATTTCCTTTGACTCCAGGCACCATATCTGGAGGTCAATGGGGGCCAGCATTTCCTGGCCTCTCCTGGGGCAGACGGGGAGCAGATGCTGGAATCCTGATCCAGTGACTTACACATTGCCGCAAGGTTTTCTGCATGTAGAGGAAAGAGTTGGCAATGCTGCTGATTTTTCTCAAGATTTGGGGGTGTGGCTCTTGATGATCCTTGAACACCCTGTCCACATAGAATGCCAGGAGATTCTTGGTCACGCAGCACACATCTAAGGGCTACAAACACAAATTAGAGTAACTCCTAGAGGCCTCTTCTCCCATTATGGTGGAGGCCAGGGCAGTCCATTTGAGTAGGGGCGGCAACACATGAGAGAATCAAAAGTCATTTTGGAAAAATTCGTAATGGTCTCACACTGTTCATCCTCTCTTATTCCCATCAAAGCTACTATGACAAAGATGGTGAGATGAGATTCCAGTTCGCCCCTTTTTTTGTATGGCCAAGAAATACATTTACCAAGGATGGGGCCCAGAATCAGTCACAGACTAATTCTCTCTACAGTATCCCTAGTATGTCATCACTAACTTCCACTTAAATCTTTCCAGGAACCAGTTGCCTCCTTTTTAAGAGGACTGATAGCTGAGCAGCTTTCTTGGAAAGGACTTCCTTACATTACAGGTGCTGAAGTTGGCCTCTCTGTTTTGTCTACCGTCTGATAACACGCAAGGGCTACTGCATGCCAGTCATACGCTAGGCACAAATTCCTCCAATGGTAATCACGTTGCATTCATTCTGGCCACCTTACTTTGGGCCACACTGCTAGCCTCTCCTCCAGTCTGTCCTTTTAAAACCAAAGGGTCATTGGAATGAGGCTAAGATTTGCCAGAAGGGAGATTGAAAGCTGCAGAAATGGGCATCTGGGTAGGTCTGCAGCCTGCAGAGTGCAGTGGTCCCAAAGAAATGGTGTCTAAATTCCCAGGCACAGCGCAGAGAAGTTGGCTAAACAGTTTCCTTCTAGCCGACTAGAAGCCACCCACCCTGAGAGCCAGTAAATTACTCTGCAGAAGATTAACTCTTCAGTCTAAGCAGAGAGTGGTTTAGGACAGCACATTCGTCTTCATTAGCATTCAAGAAACAAAGCCTCCTTGGCCCCAGTGGCAGCTTTTCCTAGATGGCAAAACCAAAACCCTTCTCTTCCTTCATTCTTGCTGATTCCCTTAATCAGAAGGGCAAAATGTTACACCCCTCTGCACTATCAAAGACTGCGGTACTAGAAAAAAGGAACACTGCTGAAAAAACGAAGGTGGGGCTGAGAAAGGGAGGGAAGGAGAGAGGAAGGGAAATGAAGGAGAAAGGAAGGGGAAAGGAAGAGAGAAGAGGAGAGAGGAGGAGAGGAGAGGGGAGGGGAGGGGGAGAGGGGAAGGGAGGAGAGGGGAGGGAAGGAGGGCAGGGGAGGGGACGGGGGGGGAGGGGAGGGGAGGAAAGGGGAGGGGAGGGGAGGGGAGGGGAGGGGAGGGGAGGGGAGGATATGATAAAGACCTGAATCCTTATTGACTCCTTTTCTGATTCCACATAGGCTACTTCCCAACCTTGAGTGGAGAAAGAATCCAAAGGTGGGGGCGTTTACTTGGGGTCTATTCCTAGCTCTGCTACTGACTAGTCATGCTCTCTCCTGAGGTCTCAATGTCCTCAGTTGAATAGTTTTGGAATAAATGGTCTTTTGGTTCCCTTCCAATTGTCATATCTTATGTGTCTACAGTGGCTAGAACATTATTTATTAAGTGGCTAATTCTTCTAAGCAGTGATTTATTTGTGGTGAACAATGATTCACCACAAATAAATCACTGCTTAGAAGAATTATGAAGGGGTTTGTGTGTGTCTCTCTCACGCATGCAGAGAAACCTGAGAAAAAAGTAACTCAATACACATATACCTTACACTCTGTCGTATAAAATACACCCCCAAAACTGAATCTTTCTAGAATGCTTCCCTGGACTGGAGGAGCTCACTTTTAAAGGCACCTCCCATGGCCCTTTTTGTAAAATGAATGATCACCTAGTAAGCCAGCTGTTTTGTAGCATACTCTCCTCACCTCCTGTCTAGATGGTTGGACTGCCTCATGTTGTCCATTGTAAGAAGAGCATCAGATTGTCTTTCTAAAACAACTTATGATCATATAACTTCGGGCTTAAAAACCTCAGTGACTCTCTATTGCTATTATTATTTTCTTTTATTATTTTCTACCTCCATGGAACCTTCCAAAATTACCCCAAAGCCACAGAAATCCTGTCCCCTCTGAGCACTTGGCACCTCCAATCACTCTCTAGGAAGTGGCACTTCTTTAATTCCTCCCAGGGGTTCCAAGCCCCTGGGACACTACTGTGCCCTAACATATATTCTTTTATTCTTTTTGGGTGTCTCAGGCTGGTGCCCAGGCTGGTGTGCAGTGGCATGATCATGGCTCACTGCAGCCTTAACCTCCCAGGCTCAAGCAATTCTTCCATCTCAGTCCCCCAAGTAGCTGGGACTACAGTTGCATGCCACTATGCCCTGCTGATTTTTTTTATTTGGTTTTGTTTTTGTAGTGATGAGGTCTTGCTATGTTGCCCAGGCTGGTCTCAAGCTCCTGAGCTCAAGCAATCCTGCCTGCCTCAACCTGCCAAAATGCTGAAATTACAGACATGAGCCACTACACCCAGCCTATTGCCTGTATTATAAGCCTGAGGCTCAGCCTGGCTCCAGGGACCTTTATAAAATGGCTTCAAGGTATTTTTTCACCTCATCCCCCACCACTCACTCATATGTCCTCTGGTTCACCTCTCTGTCCGACCTTCACTGATCTTAAATGCATTCTCTTATTCTCTTATGCTGCCCCAATACCTTCCTTCCTCTTATCCACTAACATACAACCTCCTTGGCTTTTAACTCACTGTTTGTTTTCTTAGCTACCTTCATGGGATTTTCCAAAATTACTCCTAACCCACAGAAATCCTGTCCTCTCTGAGCACTTGACACCCCCAATCACTCTCTAGGAAGTGGCACTTCTTTAATTCCTCCCAGGAGTCACAAGTCCCTGGGACACTAGCATGTTCTAACACATCAGCTGACAAAGAAGAAGCCTGGTGCATTTAGAGTACATTGGAGAGTAGGAAAGAGAAGGGAACAAGATAGGAATTTCTTTCTCAGCCCAGAGCCATCTAGACATAAAGATAAAAATACTAGAAAAAGCAGACACAGGCCAATACCTTAATGCTCTGCAGAGTCTCCAATGTGGACAAGATAGTGACATTTGGGAAGGTGTCCTTAGCTTGCTGTGGAGGGAAACATAAAAACAGACATAAGCAATCGGTATCCCATGTTCTCCTGAGATGCAAAATGTAATAAGAAGGAACTCATTTTCAAGCTAAGATGCAAGGGGAGGCATGCCCCATCACCCACACCTTTACCCCAACTCATACTCACGATGGCTCTTTTGATTTCTTGGAAACTCTCTTCTATATGATGCATGTCTGTGGAAATCAGACATTTCCTGAGACTATGGCTGTCCACGAAGCACAAGATTAGCATTATACCCAGGAGCCAGAGGGAAACACACTGGAACTTCATGCCTGCAGAAAGGGGAGGAAATCAGCTGTCCGGCCAAGAGTGGAGGGCAATGAAAGAGAAGACCCTTGACTGATGCCCCCCTCCAATTTCGAAGGCAGGCCAGGCGACATACAAGAGAAAAAGACTAAACACTTCAGCCTTGAGGAGTTTCAGAGGCATGTGTCTCCTTCTCTGGTCTTCTTGAACCAACTGGATATGGGTTCTTTCACACTGCCCCTATCCCCCCACCTCCACCCCAGAAAGCACGATACAACACTCTCTTAAGTCCCAGGAAGCATGCTTGTGTGCATATAACTCTCCTATGACTCAACGCAGCCTACTTTGTCAACAGGGGTGAAAAGCATTGTTTTTAATAAATTAAATAGGAAAAGCAGGGTTGGTAAGATGTCCTAGGAATTGGGCAACAGATGTGAAAAACCATAAAAGCGCACTTGGTTTTTGATGTTTGCCCCTGAAATAAGTGACACACTTTTACTATAAACCTCAAGAGTGCATCTGCTTAAAATCATTTGTTTGACGCCAGCTAGGCTAGAGAGGATGGGAAAGGGAGGCACAAGCCGTCTTCTATAACTACTTAGCCACAGTGAGGAGCTGGGGGAAGATGCCAACGGTAGAGGGCACCTTAGCAACTTCCCATCCATCACCCGCTGAGACAAAGGGTACGGGGAGCATGTTTGCAGCTAGCTGCTTCCCAGGCAGGGCCAGACCCTGAGATGTTTGCCACCTCTTCTCTTTCTCTTACCCTTCTTGCCTCTGTCTTTCTTGCTGCCTCTTCATTTAACCACTTTATATGGGGCCATAGAATGCACACAGAGAAAAGTGCATAAAATATAATGGTACAGCTTATGGAGTTATCTCTGCTTTCCCCCACGTTTACACCAGCTTACAAATAGAGCTTAGTGTTAATGCGTGTCTTATGACCACACATGTGACTAGAGCAGCCCTCTGCCATGCACCCTGCGTGGTGCACACTGAGATCTCCCATTTCCAGCTGTGTGTGCCAAGGTAAGCGTGTCATGTGTGGCTGTGGAGAGGAGGCAGCTGCAGGGACTGCAGAGCTGTCATTAGAGTTGCTGTAACTCACGCGTGTGAGTGTGAACCCCAGCTGCCCCAGCTCCCCACGCCTTCCTCAGGATTCCCATCTCCTTCTCTGGAAAGCCAGGAAACAGCAAATCCTGTTCAGAAACCATTTTTGCCTTGTCTCTCCTTAAGTCGGCATCATTCCCAGGGAACAGACAGGTGTGTGTTGAGACCTCACCACATGACAGGCATTAGGGCAAAGAGCTCCTTTCCTCTTTTTTCAACCTTTCTTTCTGGCTAAACAAGGATGGGCCCCATTGCCAGGGAAGTTTGTGGAGAGTCCCCCAGAGTTCTGTCCCCTCTAAAGGCTACTGGGGTGCTTCTAGAAAGCCAAGTAAGAGAGTGTGGGTTTTCTTCTGACAAGATAACTCTCAGAAGCAGTGGGATATTGCCTGCTCATCCCAGGCCAGGAGCCTCACGCATCTTGTAGAGGAAAAGATGGCCCCCTTAGCTTGGTGAGGCAATTCCAGACATTTTGGCTGATTCAGATATCAGTAGCAGGTAACATTTATCCTACGTTCCGTGTGCACTGGGCACTGTGCCAAGTATATTACATAATTTTCTCATTTAATGCTCACAACCACCCTGTTTCTATTCTCATTTTACCAGGAAAGTGAAGTAACCTGCCCAAGCCAGGGTTCGAGGGAAGGCGGACCAGTCCCTGAGCCGGCTCTCTCTACTGCTACCCCGCTCACAACACTGCTTCCCTCTGGTATCACACCCTGCAATCCCAGTAGCTTCCCTGACACCAGACAGACAGGAGCCCATTTCTGAACCAGTAGTGCTCACTACATTTAAAAAGATCTTTCATACTGTAAAAGATTAAAAAATGATAACACATAAAGTGCCCAACACAGTTCTTGGAACAAAAAAGCAATAGTAAAGACATTAGATCCCTTACCTTTCTTTCCTTCCTTCCTTCCCTCCCATTCTCTATCTCTTCACATTGAAAATAAGATCCTAGAAAATTCACCTCCTCTATAGAGTACCCCGTCAGATTCTAACAAATGCCCAGCATCTGGAGCATCATAGCCACACACAATGATAACAGGTCACCTCCCTGCGGCCGTGAAGGAAGAGGGCTAGGATGGTGGTGCATATGAGCCGCTAATGACGGACAGCATGAGCCTCACCTCTCACTTGGTGTCTGCCGGCTGCTCCTCAGTTCTCCTCTCAGTGCTCTCTGCCATTTGGAAAGGCTGGTCATTTTTATTCAGGTGGATAAGAGGAAATGCTGTCAAGGTTTGCTGGGTGGATCCACCTTGCGGAGATTGTTTTTCCCCTTGTTTTCTTAGTATCTTATTTCCTTAATTGTTTTCTTTCTTCTTTAAGATATAGCTGATTATTCATTATTATGAAATGTCTCTTTCTTCTGGGTCTTGACATGTAGCTTCTAGGAAAATGAACACCCTATCTCCATGCAAATGAGAATTTTTTGGCAATTCTATGTCCATGCAGAAAAATCTAAGTTAGGTCACTTTCCTGAGAGCTATGGCACATTACCAACTGTGCCATAGCTCTCAGGAAAGTGACCTAACTTAGGCCAACTCAGGAAAGCACTCTCAGGCAGCCACACCCTGCAGCAGCCAGCCCAGGAGGTTGTGCAGGTGCCTCTGCTCCAGCACGATCCAGCTCTCCAATGCCTCAGGCGGCTGTGTCTGCCATGTGCCAAGCACTAGCTAACTGCTTTACCTGCATTGTTTTGTTGAACTTCATGGGGAACATTTTTCCCCCTCATAAAGCAAGGATTTCTTTGCACATCATCTCTCTCCCCTTCATCTTGTCCCCTGGAGGGTTCTCTCGTTCTTGATTAATGCAGAGAGAGAAAGAGAATGACACTGGAAAGAAGAGAGGTTTAAGAGCAGCCAGTGGCAGAGCCAGGACCTGAAATCCTTACTCTTGAGCTAGAAGACTCTCTATCTAAATTATCTTTTTACATAAACTCTTTACCATGAAGTCCTCTAGGGAGCAGGGTTTAGGGCAATGAAAAGATAGGGTATAAACAGTTTCTTCCCATTAAATAAAATTTCTAGGAGGTGATTAGTTTGGACTGAGTTACTGCACTAGGCCAACAAGCCAAACCGAAGTGGAGTCACTCATGCTGAATGAAGTTCCACACCACCATGCTGAAACTAAATTGTTTATCTAACCTTCTGAGAGATCAGGAGAGAGAAAGAAAATAGCCAAATCCTCAAACAAGCCAGTTTTAGTCAGCACATAAGGAAGTCTCCTCTGCTCTAACCTTTACAAGGAAAGTAACTTTAAAACGACCAATCTGCTTTTTATTCTGTGTTTCTGCTTCCTCCGGCCCTTTTCAGCCTATAAACCTACACTCCTCTGTCAGCTCATGGGACCACTCTTTCTATTTTCATAAAATGAGAGGTTGTCTGATTCTAGAATTGCAAATAAAAGCCAATTAAGATCTTTAAACTAAATGTATTATAATTTTGTCTTTTGACATCCCCAAACACAGACTCTCAGAATAAATGGAGCTTATTTTTAACCAAATGAAGTGACCTGGGGATGAGGTGCAATTATGAGACCCCATCGGGCTGGTACAAACCCTGCAGCCAGACTGGGGAGATAGAGAGGGCAACAGGGTAATGGCAGAGAAGGAAAAGGGACAGGAAGGATGGCGGGCCTTTTATGGGACAGGTGCAAGGGAAAGAAACCCCAGGGACTTGATGTCTTGTGGTCCAGCATCTTGGACATAATAAAATGGTAAGTGTTGAGGGAAGTGGTAGACTATAGTGCTTCACAATATAGTTCTAGATTTAAATCCTGGCTCTCTCTCTCTTCTCTTCTCTCTTGGTCGCTTCCCTTCTTAGCAGCATGCCACAGCTCTCAGGAAGGTGACCTAACTTGGATTTTTCTGTATGGACATGGAATTGCAAAAAATTCTCATTTGCATGGAGGTGGGGGGTTTATTTTTTCCAGAAGCTGCATGTCAAGACCCAGAAGAAGGGTGCATTTCATAATGATTAATCATCTATATATTAAAGAAGAAATAAAACAATTAAGGAAATAAGATGAGGGTGTGGCCAGCCAGGCTCAGAGAGGGTACCATGCCTATTGCCTTCTATGGGAATAAAACTCCAAGGAGTTGAGCAATATGTGGCATTATCACAGAGTCTGGATGAAATGCATTAGGTCTATAGACACTGGACAAGCTACTTAAAGGCTTTCTAAAGCTCCATAAAATAGGTGAAATAAACTGTTAGGATTTGAATGTGCTAATGGACCTATATCATAGTAAGTACTCCTTAATAACTATTATGTATTTCTATGCCAGGCACCTGGAAAAGGAGAAGACACCTTTGTTAGGAGCTAATGGACACCTCTCTGCTCCTTTGAAGAGGGAGCAAAGAGCTGCTCTTGATCTCCCCTAGGAATCTCCCCTAACCCTAACCCCTGTTTCCCCCAGAGGGGTCGGATGGAGGGAGGTGGGTGCTGTTTTCCCAGCAGGGCCTGAGCTGCCTGGCCCAAAGCCCCTCTGCACATGTGAGAGGATTGCAACACTATCCGTGCTCAGTCTCGCCCCACATTCACCCCTGTGCTCAGACTGTATATTCTGACCCAGCTTTCATTTCAGGGCAAATATATCATATCAGGAAGCTTGCAGGGAAATGGAAATAGTGATGTGTTTATAGCTCCACTTCCAGCATGCAGTATATCATAATCGCTGGTACTGGAAGCTGGGTTGACTGGCTCTGCTTTCTATGGCTGTCAGACTGAATGCCTTCTGAAAGCCACAGAATCTCAGTGCCTGTTTACTCATCTGTAAAATGGTACAGATCCAGTCTACTGCACATTCACCATGTAGGCACAGCATGAAGATGAAGTGATTACACATAAGTCCTCAGCACAGTGCCTGGCGCATAATGAGCAATTTGAAAATGATGACATTTGTTATCAATGTTACAGTCCCTTTTAGAGCTCCTAAAT